CAATCCCCGACACCCATGTCTGAGACCCAGCACTTGGTAGCATGGTGTGAAGAACATCCTGTTAACATATACTCACAAGAAGAAGCAATTTGTCTAATGATTGTTATAAAGTACTTTTTAAAATTCTGAGCAATTATGTCTTAGAAAAATAAGTAAGACAACTAGAAGATCTCATGACTGAAGTGGCATACTTAGAGGGTCCCCTTTGAGATTTGAAATTCAGACAATCTGACTGGCCTAGCCTAATTTGTCTTGAGGATCCATGAAACTCTGTACTCTTCAACTAAACGTAATAAATACCCATTAGATCTACTGCTGAAACAATGGGAATGATGCCCAGGAGTTGTGAACGGTGATCTGACATTGGAGACTGTTGCCTATTCCAGTAGGAAGAAAGGATGAGATGAGGGTTCCCTCCAAAAACGGGAGGAGAAACAGGAGAGCACCTCATAGTGTGCATCTTCAACTCATGTTTGGGTGCTTATGAGGAGTTTCAGTAAAAATAACCAGGGAGACACCTATGCTCTTCACACTTACATTTGTTTTCTCTGTTACTGCCACAAGAGAATGTGCTCATAAGCTAACTTTGGAGACCATTCTTCCAATTGTTGCACAGATGCAGTATGGTGTGAGTACTGTTGTCAGATCACAGAGGTGTTGACTATTTCTAGGAAGAATGACTCTCAGTGCTGAAAGGTCTGTCAGATGCTGGTGTAGACAAGCACTGGCCATATCCTCCACTTTACCTCATCCACTCATCAGTTACCAGGCTCTCTCAGTCATAAATGTAGAACATGGACCCTGTAGACCAAAACTACACAGAAATCAACATTTCAAGTCCATGGTGCTTGCCAGGGTACAGATAATTTTGTGAAGCTTCCATGCCTCTGTGTCCACATGGTTCATCTAAAAAATTGACAATGATAATAAAGGAATTGGTTTCCTGAACTTTCAGGTCTGCCAATCCCTACCACACAGTTTGTGAATACAGCTAAAATGACATAATGGCTTAGGTTCAGTGTATGATTTTGCTGCTGCCATTTACTAGTTTTATGACCCTAAATATGTTATTTTTCCTTTGTATATAGAAATTCTCTTATGTGAATAAGGAGTGGGAATAATGTTGCTATCTCTCAGATCCATATTATTAAACAAGTTAATATATACATACAATAGTAAAAATTGGCTAGTTATGTTTCCCAACTCCCTGATAGACAAAAATGATGCATTTTCCAATTATAGTCTTCACCGTTATTGCATGTATACACATGCATGTGTGCATTATATGCACATTAGCTTCTAAGGAATTAGAGTTTGTCTTTCCCTCAAAATTGTATGTCTTGCTGTCTTTTCCCACGTAACACACTCTTGTTTATATTCTCTTTTACTCTTCCACACAACCTTGTTCACAGACACTCTGATCTTTTACAAACATAAATATGTGAACAAACAAATGAAGGATCTGGCCTGGGCTCTCAAGACATAACTCTTACATTGCAGCAAAGGGACATCAAAGCATTAGGAGCATATTAAGTTAGTGCTAACCTCATCCTCCCATTTGAAGCTATATATAACTAACTTGGACTTTTTTTTAAATCTCTTATTCTGGAAAAATGATTTATCTATGCTAAAATTACTTTATATGCATTCTTCTATGCTTACATCATATTATACAATTACGACAAAGAAATGTAAGTCACAAAAAAGATGACATTGATGTTAAGAGCTCTTCAACACATTCAGATGGGGACAGTGTCATAAAAGGCCATTGAAGCAGAAAAAGAGCAGTGACATGTTGAGGTTATATACAAGTCATAGTGTTGAGGCCATATGCAAGTCATAATGAACTTGTATGATATGTAAAAATACAGACTTAAATAAACTAAAATGTGATCAGAGTTGCAGTAAGGCTTAAACTTGTGTGAATAGAGCAAAATAACTGATGAGTGATAAAAAATTAATGAGAAAGCAGTGACATGAAGGAGGACAGTAACACATTCTGATTATCTACTTGCTAGAGATGTCCCTGCATCTTCAGTACAAAGAACTTATGAACTCACTAAACAAAAGCAACTTTTGTTTCAACAATATAAATGAGATGAGATTGCCATAGGTTAAAAGATATCTCTAACAAGTGTAACAAACAAAAATATTGCATTAACTGTCTCTTTGTTACAGTCCTATGGCTGTGAAGAGACTCCATGAATAAAGGAACTGGTGAAAAGAATCATATATGTAGGGACTTGCTTAGAGTTTCAGAGGGTAAGTTGATGTCCATCATGGCAGGGAGATTGGCAGGTGTGGCACTGGAACAGTAGCTGAGAGCTTACCTTCTGATTCACAGAGGAGAAAGAGAGAGAGAGAGAGAGAGAGAGAGAGAGAGAGAGTCAGAGGCAGAGAGAGACAGAGAGACAGAAAGAGAGAGAGAGAAAGAGAGAGATAGAGATAGAGATAGAAACTGGGCCTGACATGGGCAAAAGAACCTCTCACACCATGCTCCCCCACCCTGTGACACATCTACTCCAGCTAGGCCACACCTCCTACTCCTTCTCAACCAGTTCCAGTAACTGGAGACCAACCATTAAACTGTATGAGCTTATGGGGTCATTCTCAATCAAACCACCACCGAATGAAATATTTTCCTTTAGCTAGTTAAGAAAAATTGTGCAACACTCCTTCATAAGTCTAAGAAAGTACATTTGACAGATGATAATAATAGTGTAGCTTTCCTTTGAAGACAAAACAGCCATCTTAAATATTATAAAAGATGATGCCTGCTTTAAGAGCCTCTTGTGAAATAAAATTATAGTGAAAGAATAGATGAAATTGGCTGGCAAAATAACTGTTGAAGCTTGGTGAAGAGTACATGCTCAAAACTCTTCTAAATATGGAAGATTTTAGAGACATGAAGAACCCATAATATGAGAAACACTGCTTTCTCTTCCCATTTCTCCTCACAAGCATTGAAAAAGCTGTGAGGCAGTGACTTCTCAGGGTACATCAGAGAACAGGCAAATATGAATGAATGAATGATCTCATCATCCAGTCCCTGCATTCACAAGTGTTAAAAGCTCTACTCTTGATTTTATCATGTCAAGCAACAAATGTCTTATCAGTTCTTCCAGTTTAACAGACATTCTATTACAGCCAGTTACCAATGATACCATGTTATATAAAATTATTTTATTGCCATTTTAAATTATTTACTTTTAATTAAACAAGTAACTGCATACCCATTGAAACAATATATTGTATGTTCACTGAGAAACAAACAGTAGAATGGAATAAAGGGCACAGCTCATGCTTCTCTTTCATGTCCCCATCTCTCTTCTTCTAAGAGGCTACCAGTGTTTGCACATAGTTTTAATCGTGTGGGTTTAAAAGTTACGTGAGCAACTCTATGTTAGATGGTTTATGTGTAAGGATTTCTTAGTGAGATTATGTGATGTTGTTTACCATCATGTGGGACCTAATCCTTTTGGGACAAGGAGTTTTGTTCTCCTTTACCTCTATTTCACCAGACACTCAGTAAACACTAATTTGTAGATGACGTTGATATTGATAATAACAGCTGACTCTCGGCAACTTTTCCTAATTGCACTCAATCTAAACTCTAGGTCTGCAAAGGTAATATTTTACCTTCCCCACCCCCACAGAGAACTAACAATAGAGCACCACCAACAATACCAGCAGAGGCGCAACATGCAAACGACAAGCCTGGGAGTTGAAGGGACTGACATTCTCAAGATGTTCTCCAGCAAGATAAACAGTTAGTGCTGAGAACATATGAACAGCAGAGCACGGCAAAGGGGCATTCATCTTCACATTTCAAGTTATTCTTTGGCTGACAAATTTGGCAAAAGAATGAAGAATTCCCCCCACTGGTGCTTAGAAGGGACCTGTTCTTAAACAATGAAATGGCAATTCAAGGAGACATACAATAGCAGTGAGCCAGTTTGTAAAAGTAATTTTCTGGACAGAAAGATGATTTCAGAATGTAGCAGGTTGATTGGAAGTAGCCCTGCCCACATTCAGTACGGAATATTTGCAGTTGGGCCAGGCGCTTATAAAAGGAACAGAAATTTTTCTGATTCCATATTCCTAAGTCTCAAAGTGGGCAGAGGGGTTGGTACTGTCTCCTGGATTCTTTAAGAGCTAGAGTCTGCCTCATTAAAAGAAAGTCAAGTTTTGTAAAATCTCACTCGGCTTTGATACAATAGTTCTTGACAATCAGATGTAAAGCAGATGTAACCAATAAAGTAACTTGTACATGGTTACAGCGAAAGACTGCAAACAAAACAACTCAAGTGGTCCCCAAAAGGGGGGAACATAAGAGTCACCTCATCGGAGCGGCAGAGTAGCACGCAGTGGGTAAAGAAGGGACGGTCTCTTCATCATCCTAAGACAAGTCAGGTGTGCACTAATCTCACAACATGGTAAGTGTGGTGGGATGCTGGCTTACCAGGGAAGCACTGGAAATACAGTTGCACATTTTAGTGCAGGGCAGGAACTGGGGGACTGATCTGCAAGATGCAGTTACTCACAGTTTCTTATCTTGGATTATGTTACTGGTAAAGTGTTTTAAATTAAGACACATTTCAGCATTTATTAAATTTGAGATTCATTAAGCAGGCCAAATTTCACCTTTAGAATGACTTTTCTAATGCCAACTTACAAGTCTTGCAAAAGGAAGACAATGCTGTCTAGGCTGACAGTCTCTGAACAAACAAAATAAAGCAAGTTAAAATGTATATGTAGGCCTCACAGCCCACCAGCGCCGCGTACGGCGGCAGGCCCCGCCTCTTCTGGGCGGAGCCCAAGAACCCACGGGCTGCGGGCCACAGCCGCCTTACTGCCTCTGGTGCTTGTTTAGGTGCTGAGGCTGCGACTGAGCTGGTGGCGCCAAGGCCGAGCCCGATGGAGGTAAACCTCCGCCGGCGCTGCCGGCCCTTGCAGCAGTCTGGGACGTCTCGGCGGTTCTGTGCTTTGCCTGGGTGAGGATGCGGCTCTTCTTTCGGCTGCTCAAGCAGCCGATCCCCAAACAGATCGAGCGCTACTCTCGCTTCTCTCCGTCGCCGCTGTCAATCAAACAGTTCCTGGATTTCGGAAGAGATAATGCATGTGAAAAAACTTCATATATGTTTCTGCACAAGGAGCTTCCTGTACAACTGGCTAACACAATGAGAGAAGTTAATCTTTTGCTGGACAACTTGTTGAATCGTCCTTCGGTGGGGTTAGTTCAGAGTTGGTACATGCAGAGCTTCCTTGAACTTTTAGAATATGAAAACAAGAGCCCAGAAGACCCACAGGTTTTAGATAACTTTCTCCATGTTCTGATTAATATCAGAAACAGACACAATGATGTTGTTCCTACAATGGCCCAAGGCGTGATTGAATACAAGGAAAAGTTTGGGTTTGATCCATTTGTTAGCAGTAACATCCAATATATCCTGGATCGTTTTTATACCAACCGCATTTCTTTTCGCATGCTTATTAACCAACACACACTTCTGTTTGGTGGTGACACTAATCCTGCTCATCCTAAGCACATAGGGAGTATCGATCCCACCTGCAATATAGCTGATGTGGTGAAAGATGCATATAAAACAGCTAAGATGCTCTGTGAACAGTATTACCTGGTAGCTCCAGAGCTGGAAGTGGAAGAATTCAATGGAAAATAAGCTCCATGTCTGCCAGAACATTTGATGAGGTGAATGGATCAGAGACAACATGGAACTGAGACTGTGGGACCATGCCCAATCCAGTTTAAGGAAGATCCCCTGATGTTCCTCATGGAGCCAAAAAAAAAAAAAACTGGACACACTTTGAAACACAAATTCAGTTTCCAGTTTTCCCTTTAGGGAAAAAGAACACATTTAAAACAACTGGACACTGGTATGGACAGTGATGAGTGGCTAAATTCCCCTTTCCGTTTTTGAACAGGACTTGTCCACTTACAAACTTGTTAGAGAGGCAAAGTATAGTATTTGGGAGTTCATATTACTGAAATCCACCCTATGCCAGTGTATATCTCCAGACAAAGGCAAGTTTTCCTCATGTGGCAAAAGAGACACTTAAGCATCAATCCTGGGGTGATTGTAGTAATTTCTGATGCTGCTAAAAGAGCCAATTCATCTGGGACTGTCACCTCACAGTCTGTACCTACAGCCAGCACTGTGTATAAACTATCATTGGAAGTATCAGATTCTCTCAGCACTCAGAGCTCTTTAAATTATTTAATCCAGATATGAATTTAAAATCTTCATCAACAATCATCCTTAAACCTGTTTGCCTACACATTTGTGTTACTCCTGCCAAAGTTTATATGCAATAATTGTGCAGTCAAATTAATAGGATAAAAGAGACAAAGGATCCTCTACCCTCTGGAGAGATCATATTTAGGGGAACCCAGATGGCAGGCCGCTTAATGAAAAATGGGCTTTGTCCCTATCTTTGGACCATGCAGCCATAGGACTTGATAGCTTATACTTCATTGTACTATGGCACATTGCTGCTAGGTATGCCCAAGCTCGATTTGTCAATGGAGGACCACAGAGAATCCTGCGGCTCAAGTATAATTGAACTTACAGAAAATTTAGGCAGCCAATGAGAGGTGACTCTAAGGGTATTCCCGCCAAACTAAGACTGGAGTGTCAACACCCTGGTTGATTTCTCCTTTAATGGGTAAGTTTAACATTAATGTTTTAGTCAGCTGAGACATTCACACACACACACACACACACTCACACACACACACACCCATAAATAAATATATATATATATATGTCTGTACATATATATATATATTTATATGGTGCCAGCACCAACAGGGTCTCTGTGATTAGCTTCTCAGCCAAGAGTTGCATCATATTTTTCTGTCCAAGCGCATCCAGTTTTCTAGTCCTGGCTTACTTCCCTAGCCTTGACTCACTGACATCTACATCTAGCACTGAGACAAACAAGATCTCTATGATCTGTTCCACCTGGGGATTTTTCATCTGTACTGTAAGTCTGTATATAATGCTGCACTCTCTCTACAATGAAGAAGATACATCTTAGCATGAATGACTGGATGTCTTGCCTTTCATTTCAATCTACAGACTTTCACCCGATATATTAGACTTGCCATGGTGCGTGAAACAGAACAGATGAGAGACTAATATTGTGTTACTTCAAAATGAAACTTAAATCTGTAGCCTGAGTCACACAACTCAGGGACTGCGAAAGAACAGTTTCTTCCCAGGATACATTTGGACTGTCATGTGGCAGCTACTTTGACATGTACACGCCTGTTATTTTGTGGTGATTCTTTATTTGTCAGGCTGGGTTCTTCAAGTAGCAATTAGAGAGGCCTGGCCATATATTTCAGTGTAAAGATACAAGACCTGGACTTTATTGCTGCATATTTTGATCTTCTATGAGATGACACACCCACATGCAATATTCAACATCCTTTGTAGCATCCTCTTGAACTATATCTTTATCTCTCTTACACACACAAGCACACACAGATACAGAAGCACAAAACAGATCAGGCACCATTGTGACCTCTAGTGATGTAAACAGATGACACCAATTGGCAAGCTAAGCAATAGTGTAGAGACCACCTAAAATGCCTATTCCTGATAGTGAACTTGATGTCTGTAACCATCCTGGAGTCTTCATCCAGTGACTGATGGAAGCACAGGCAAACACCCACAGTTAAATACTGAACAGAACCCAAGGAACCCATCGGCAGAGAGAGAGGAGCAAAGAGCAAATTGGCAAAGAATGGGCTGGCAAAACCAGCAGAGACAGCTGATCCGAAAAGGGGGAGAGCTCTTGGACCCCAGACTTACAGCTGGGAGGCCAGCATGGGACCGATCCAGACCCCCTGAATGTGAGAGTCAATGAGGAGGTCTGTGCTACCTATGGGGTCCTAAGCAGTTTATCAGTGTTTATCCCTCGTATACTAACAGACATCGTGTGTCCATAACACAAAGAGGATTGCTCTCTCTGCCTGGACTCTTAGGAAGTGCATGGACCCTACCCTGAATGAAATGATAGACTCTAGATATCCCCTATGTGGAAGGAATTGGCAATAGGGTGGGTGGGGTTTTGTGCGGGAGGAGGGGAGGGAGAGGGAACTTGGATTGACATGAAAAACAAGCTATTTAAAATAAAAAATATATAAAATAATAATAATAATAAAGATATGCTAAGTAAAAAATGTATATGTACAATACACTACTTTTCCTTAGACTGTCAACAACCATAATTCATACATATTTGAAATGGTGAGCTGCTAACGTACAATGAAAGCTGTATCCTCAGGACTAGAGCTGGAACCCCAAGGGAATGACTACAATTTAGAGGAATACAGTCAAATTAATGGGGGGAAAATGCATCTCCAATTGTGCCCACAGAGACTGTAAACAAGAAGTCTAGTTGAATGACAAACATTATAAACCCTCAACAGTGAAGGCTGGTTTATATGCTGTACTCCATTTATGTAAGTAGCTGTCATATGCATGGAATGTATGATGTTTCATCCAAGCACATTTCCATAGGGAATAAAAGTGTAGGAAGAAGGGTAACCATGGCATCACTGCTGGTTAAAATAAAACTGTTGGGATGATGATCCAGTCAAAGAAAGAAAACTACAGGTCTCCAGGGGAAATTTAACCTAATCCCTAAAACCATTTGCTGTCCTGTTTTCTGTTACTTCTCAATTATTCTGAATGTACACACCTTCAGTAGCTGGAGAAATTATGATGTGTGAAGACAAAATCCCTTCTCTTTCTTAATAATGTAACATAAAATCTCCAAAATCTTTCTTGTTGCTTTTTACCCTCTTGTTTTAAAAAGCTGCCTTTTGTGGTGATATATTAATTTTGATTTAGTAACGCTTGCCTGAGGGTTCAGGATGTAAAGCCAGTCATAATAGTTAGCTATGAAAGCTAGGTTTTATACACCTTTAATCCCAGGACTCAGGAGACAGAGGCAGATTGATCTTTCTGAGTTCAAGGCCACCCAGCGCTATACAAGAGTGAATCAGTCTAAAAGAGAATTAGAGCTTATGCCTTCAATCCCAGCCCTAGAGAGGTATGGAAAAGACAAGAGTCCAGTGTTTTAGGTGAGATTTAGAGATTTATTCTCTAGCCACGTGGAGGAGAGGCAGCCATCTGAGGCTTGCTGGGTTGGGGGTAGAGGTGAGAGCTAGTGGCTGGCAGCTCTGTTTTTCTGGACTTCACCTTAAAGCTTGAACCCCAGTATCTGTCTCTGGGTCTTTTACTTTTCATGTTACACCTTTTATTATTGTTTAAATGAAAAAATCCAATATTGTTTTAAAAAGTCATGGATAAGTACTGGCTACTTAATTTGTAAATGTTCATCATGAATGTAAACCAGTATAATCTAGGCACGGTATTTTGTAACAATTTATATTCCATATTGCGGCCCACATAAGCCCCTTTCAATCAGAAACAGCCACTTTTAAAATCCAGGCAAAAATACTACTGGGAAGGCTAGAGTCTTTCCAGATAACTCACAGAAACATAAACATGCGATAATAATCTGTCACTTCAGCTCGATGTCTGTGAGGTGAAAAACCTCTATAGTAAAAAGAAGAAAAAAATGTGCTTTACCTGACTAATGTAAAATATCTTATTTTCTATGCACAACTTTTAGACTGTCTTCAATTGGTGATCTTTAATACCATCCAGGCTGAAGCTCAAAACAGAAAAGAACATTTCATTTGTGACATCATTAAGTTTCATATCAAAGTGCCCATCAATAGTTACAACTTGCACAAAATAAAAACACCAAATCTGGAGAGATGCTCAGCAGGTGAAAGCACCATCTGCCCTTTCAGAGGTCCCCAGTTAAATTCCTGGCACATATTTAGCAGCTCAGAGCCATCTGTAGCTGTAGTCCTGGGGGATCCAACATACTCCTTGGTCTCATTGGGTATTGCACACACATGGTCCACAGATATACATGCTAGAAAAACACCCATATCCATAAAACGATGTTTTCCCCTTATTTTCCCGACCTCAGTGGATTGGCCAAAGGCTGTAGATTAATTCAATATACCTTCTCCTTAGAAGGTAATCTCTCAGGCAAAAGGCTGGAAAGTTGACCATTCAATTTTACTGTTAGAAGTTGAGGTACCTGTTTTCTAATCTTTTTATTCTTGAGTCACTCCACTCCCAAGTCTTCTGTCTGATCATTCCCAGTCTTTCCAAGTTTTTCTGGATCTCAATGGGACCTACAATTGTGGTGGCCATGGAACAGGCAATTCCAAGGTATCAGGCAAAGAAAGAAAAGATGTTTAGCTGTTTGTACTAAGAGAATGTTTGTGCTGCCTTTATTGAAAGGCAAGTGTGTGTGTGTGTGTGTATGTGTGTGTGTGCATGTGTGTGTCTTTACTGCAAGTGGTGCGAGGACTCTTACTTGTTGTTCAGCCACTTTGGAAATCAGTGTGGAGATTCCTCAGAAAAATAGGAATAAACCTACCATAAGACCCAGCAACTCCACTCTTATGCATATATCCAAAAGATGGCCATTCATACAACAAGTATGTCTGTTCCACTATGTTCATAGCAGCATTATTTGTAATAGCCAGAACTTGGTGGCAACCTAGATGTCCCTCAACTGAAGAGTGGATAGAGAAAATGTGGTACATTTACACAATGGTGTA